GAGAAACGTGGGGTGGGGAGAAAAGAGAAAGTGAGTCACCTGGCTGAAGCATAAGCTAATGACTTGCAAAAAAAAAAAAAGGCTAAGGGAGCCACTTTTGTAGATGCAGAATATGCTTGGGGTGAGTTTAGATGTTAATCCCCCAAATCGAGAAATCCTGGTATCTGAGCTGTGGCTGAAGCTGCTTATGTGCAGGTGTCTATAGTGTTTGAGTAGGATGAGAAAAGAAGACCAGTTGCTATCTTCTGTCTTCTTTCTTGCAAGGAAGGGAATAAAGCCCCAGAGTGTTTGGAAGAATTGCTGAGAAAGGAGTGGTTTAAGTCTTTTTTTCTTTCTTTCTTGCAAGAGGCTCTGGGAAATTTTGCAGTGTGTTTCTACCCAGAGGGAAATTCAGGAATAGCAGACTGCTAAAGGCTGCTTTTCCTGGTGCCTGTCATTTTATATTGGATTTTATACATCTTCTATTTTGTCCTTTGCATTATCAGAAGTTCATTCTACCCAAGTTTGGGTCTTCTGACAGCTGCCTGCAGCGATGCTGGCCTAGGTGCAGTGGCAGGAACGTAGGGTAAATTTCTAGCAAATCGAAGGTGCTCTATGTACTAAAATCAGGAAGCTTAAGCTTTGGGTAGAACTTAATCAACCAATGCATGGCTTTGTTTTAATTGCTCAGGTTATTGAATGAGAGCGAGAAACGCCCATTTGTGGAGGAGGCTGAACGCTTGAGAGTGCAACATAAAAAAGACCATCCAGACTACAAGTACCAGCCACGAAGGAGAAAGTCCGTGAAGAACGGACAGGCTGAGCAAGAGGAAGGATCGGAGCAGACCCACATCTCTCCGAATGCTATCTTCAAGGCCCTGCAGGCAGATTCGCCCCAGTCTTCATCCAGCATGAGTGAAGTACATTCACCTGGAGAGCATTCTGGTGAGTGTGCCAACTTCCCCTCCTTGGAGAAGAAGAGGAAGAACATCCGGTGTAGACAGGTCTCCTAAAGGCAGTCCAGTTAGCAGCCTGTTGCTTTTCTGGAGCAGTTTGCCAAGGAAACATAAAAGAGCTAGATAGCTATTGGTAAAAAGCAATAGCTTTCATGTACCTACAAGACAGGTCTTCAAATAGGTCATCCTTCAACAGTTCAACGTCAACTTAATTGCTTTGCTGAGCCATTCCACCAATAGTACTAATCTTAGTTTTCATCTCAATGTATTACCATAACTTATAAACTATAAACACCTGTTATTGTAGCCTTATAAAGCAGCCAGTTTTCAACTACATGCAACAATCTGCATTGGTATTTCATTCTTTTTGGCAGGCTCTCCATCGTCTCTTTTGCATCCATCCAGAGTTAATCTTTAGCTAAGTTATCACTGCCATGCAACACCTTCTGCTCATTAAAAGTGGCCGCTGGTGGGAGTTTTATGGCCCTCTGGCTGTGCCTGTTATCAGAAGGGAAAGAGACCCAGGTGTGGCTTGCTTGCCCTGTGACTTCAAAGGCATCAAAGAGAACCTGTCCCCTTTGTAACAACTACTATCTCCTTTATATTCCTTACAGGGCAATCTCAAGGGCCACCTACTCCTCCTACCACTCCCAAAACAGATGTCCAGCCTGGTAAGCAGGACCTGAAACGGGAAGGTCGCCCACTGCAGGAAGGAGGAAGACAGCCGCCCCATATTGACTTCCGAGACGTGGACATTGGGGAACTCAGCAGTGACGTCATCTCTAACATTGAGACTTTTGATGTTAATGAGTTTGACCAGTATCTCCCACCCAATGGCCACCCAGGAGTTCCAGTCACCCATGGTCAGCCTGGCCAAGTCACCTACACAGGCAGCTACGGGATCAGTAGCACCACAGCTACCCCAGCAGGCACTGGGCATGTCTGGATGTCCAAGCAGCAGCAGCCGCCACCTTCTCAGCAGCCACCCTCCCAAGCTCAGCCACAACCACCGCCCCCACCGCCGCCGCAGCACACACTCACCACCCTGAGTAGTGAACCAGGCCAGCCTCAGCAGAGGACACATATTAAGACCGAGCAGCTCAGTCCCAGCCATTACACTGACCAACAGCAGCATTCACCTCAGCAGATCAGCTACAGTTCCTTCAATCTCCAGCACTATGGCTCTTCCTACCCGACCATCACTCGCTCCCAGTATGACTACACAGACCATCAGAGCTCCAATACCTATTACAGCCATGCTGCCAGCCAGAGTTCCAGCCTTTATTCTACATTCACTTACATGAACCCCACCCAGAGGCCCATGTACACCCCAATTGCAGACACTACGGGGGTACCTTCCATTCCTCAAACCCATAGCCCACAACACTGGGAACAGCCAGTCTACACGCAGCTCACCAGACCATAAAGTTCTGAAGGATGGTGTCAATTCCCCAGACTTACAAAAATATTTTTAAGCTAAAAGTGAATGGAAGAGAGGAAAAAATATCCCAGAATGCATTGTGCACTACAGCATCCCTTCAAAACTGACCAGATTATTCTCAATCAAGAAACATTCCATGATGGACTAAATACTTTGATTTGAAGGCAGTTTTTTTATTTTCTTCAAACAGCCAGCTTAGCTTGCATAGGTATGAACTTGTTAATTATTTTTAACAATAACTAAAAACAAAAAAATGAAAAAAATATAAACTCAAAAGTATTCCTCTGTGAGGAATATTCTCTATTTTAAATATTTTTTAGTATGTATTGTGTATGATTTGTTACCAATATGATGGAATTTATACGTACTTGTTTTTAGAGAAACTTTTAAAAACTGCTTTTTCCTTTTTNTTCCTTTTACATTTTTTTTTCTTTTCATGATGACAGTGGTGAGGCTCTGCCTCCCCTGCCTCTCCTGACTGCACGTCCCTGAGGGGCGCTTCGCTCCTGCTCTGGAATATGTGGGGAGTCTCCATCTCCCACTGTCACCCTTACCTTCTCAGGCCAGGCCAGGTGTGACTGGGATGGAAGGGTGGGGGGCGGGGCCAGCAAGTGGTGGGTTCAGCTGACAGGGAGCCACAGCAGGGTGACCAAAGATCCACATGTGGCTCCAGAGCCGCAGGTTGCCGACACCCATTGTAAAGGAAAAGATATTCATTGAACATTAACAAAGATTTACTTTATCCAGGATTTCATTTGAAATAGTATCACTACATTTTTACAGTAATTGTTTTCTCTAATTCTCCTTAATGAGTGAACATTTCATTTAAAATAAAATCTTGGCGACCCCCTTGGACTATAGCACATGGGGCTCCTCTGTTTTCCACTGTCTCCCAGAGTTTTCATTCATGTTCATTGTGTTGATTACACTAACCATCTCATTCTCTGCTGTCCCCTTTTCCTTTTGTCTTCGATTGTTCCCACCATCTGGGTCTTTTCCAATGAGTCCACTCTTCTCATTAGGTAGCCAAAATATTTCAGCTTCAGTCTCTGCCTTTCCAAAGGTCAGTATTCTCCATTAGAATACTGTACGAATTTCTGCCTAATTTGTGGAATATGCAGTATCTAATTGTACTAAAATCAGTCTTCTGTTCTTTTTGATGAATAAAGAAAATATTTTTGATTGATTCACTCAAATATAGAGTTAATATTTCATGTTTAATTTATGTTGAAATGTTTGCAACATGTGAGTTTTGTTTTATTTTGCAGATCTGGAGATCATAAAAGATCTGTTCTTGAAACAATGGCAACAAAATCATCGCTCCTTAAAGTAATCCTTTTAGGAGATGGAGGAGTTGGAAAGAGTTCAATTATGAACAGATATGTTACTAACAAATTTGATACCCAGTTATTCCATACAATAGGTGTAGAATTCTTAAATAAAGATCTGGAAGTGGATGGACACTTCGTCACAATGCAGATATGGGACACTGCAGGCCAGGAACGGTTTAGGAGCTTGAGGACTCCCTTCTACCGAGGTTCTGACTGTTGCCTTCTCACTTTCAGTGTAGATGATTCTCAAAGCTTCCAAAATCTGAGCAACTGGAAAAAAGAATTCATTTACTATGCAGATGTGAAGGAGCCTGAAACATTTCCTTTTGTGATACTGGGTAATAAAGTTGATATAACTGAAAGACAAGTATCTACAGAAGAAGCCGAGGTCTGGTGCAGAAACAATGGAAACCATCCTTACTTTGAAACAAGTGCAAAAGATGCCACTAATGTTGCAGCAGCTTTTGAGGAAGCTGTCCGAAGAGTTCTTGCTACTGATGATAGATCAGATCACTTGATTCAAACAGATACAATAAATCTTCACCGAAAGCCCAAACCTAGTTCATCATGCTGTTGACTATTTAGCTTTATCTCTTGGTTCAATATCATTCTTAACTCGGAATAATAGAACATATGATTCATTGGATGACACATAATATATTAAACTGTAATATTTTACTGCTTTATGTGCTGGCCAGAAGATTCTCTTCTATGTGACCTATTGCTAAATAAATGGTATCTGACATTTGGGGAAGGTATTAACTCAAGAATTCATTTAATTTAAATGTTGTTTGAATAATAAATTATATACTAAAACTTGAAAGTTCTAGAAGCACTACTTGGGGACTCAGTTGAGGAATAGAAATTTTATATCTATGTGTATATTTTGAGGTCACTAATTCATGGTTTACTTCACTAAAACCTTTTACATAAAGCAATATTAGTAGATAGTACATTCTTATTCACGATTGCATCTTTAATCTATTTTTTTTTAAATCTGATTTAATATAAACATTTTAAGGGCTTTTGCTATTTGCCTAGTGTCACTGAGCTGCCTGTAGATTTTAAGTTAGATAATAAATCTGCATATATGGAGCCTGTGTGTGTTTGTCTTTATCTGCTCTTCTTGCCCAACACTGGGCAATAGATAATACATTACTAGGTTTCTTTAAAAAAAGTTGGCTGCAGTATGTCTTAAATCTTGACATAAGTTGTCAGGTTTTTAAACTACATTAGCTTGACTCAGTTTTGATTGAAAATATGTGAATGAAATCCCAGACAGATTTGTTGAGTTTTCGGTGAGAATTACAGTCTTTGACTTTATGGCCACAATTGAGTCCAAAATTTCTGTTGCTAAGGAAATCAGTTTTGCTCTATTTTACCTTTCTTGCCACAGTTATTAAATGAATCACTGCAGTTGCTAAATTAGTACCATGGTTGTTAAGGGAATCTGACTTCCACATTGACTTTGCTTGTCAGGCTGCAAAAGGTGATCACACGATCCCCAGAGATTACAACTGTCATATATACAGTTACCAGATGCCTGAATTTTGGTTATGTGACCATGGGGATATTGCAATGGTCATTAAGTATGAAAATGTTGTATGTCACTTTTTTCAGTGACATTGTAACTTTAGATCTGTCACTAAACTAATAAATTGTGAGTCAAAAACTACCTTTATACTACAAATATTTTTACAAGGCAGAAATCTTAATACTAATGTAGAGCTTACTTGGAATAAGACAACTTGCAAATTACATGATGTTTACAAATACCATGTAAATGAAATGTTCACTGCTCAAACATTTTTTTTCCATTTCCAATTATACTATCTTTACATTTCTATCTTGGTATATATTTTTATAGTTGCTAGTCCAGTGGCTAACCTTTTCATCGCTGTGTGCAATGTGCGCATGACCCCCCTGCGCACACCCCACGCATGACCCCCACACATGTGCCCTGTCCTCCCGTGCACACGCAGCAAAGACCCAAAAACCAACTGGGCGGCAGAAGGCCTGCATGCATGTGCAGTGGAGCTGAGCTGGGGCAATAGCTTACAAACCCACAGAGAGGGCTCTATGTGCCACCTGTGGCATGTGTGCCATAGATTTGCCATCACACTAGTCTGTATTACTATTCCCCTGCTGTTTAGATGCTATTTTAGTAAAAAGCAGAATATGCTCAAGTAAGTACACTGATGTAGTTTTAGGGGACGGCACCACATTATTCAATAAATTTAAGAACAGAACTTGTTCTATCTATAATTTTTTTTAAACACCCCATCTCATTGTACAGGTAGTCCTTGAGTTACAAATGTAACCCATTCCATTTGTAACCCAAGGATTCATGGGAGTGTATCTCAGTATCTTGAACGGGATCACTCCCTTCTTTTGCCCACACAATCACTAATCAAATGCAAGGCTCGTTAAGTGTACATTAGGTCTTTCAGGGTGAGGAAGGACATGGGGAGTCTAGTAATGGAACAAGCCAACTCTTTTAAGACCACCCAAGGCCTACCTGACCCACTGAAATACCTGATGCTCCCCACAATTGCTTCCTCCTCATCCCAACTTGCTGTGCTGGGTCACTTACCTTATGAAGATCTAGCAAGCAGTCTCCTCCTCAGCCTCAGCTGTGTGTCCCTCTGCAGTTCCATTCAGACCTTCACCAGCCCATTGCAGGCCGGATCCACCCCTCAGAAGCTCCATTTTGGAGTGCAATAGGCCAGTGCAGGTCCCACAGAGGCCCACATGGAGCATCGGAGGGCCGGATCCGCCCCCCCAGAAGCTCCATCTCAGCTTGCAGCAGGCCGGGGGAAGACCCAAACAGAGTGCCAGAGGGGGGCATGTGGCTGAGAGGCTGGAAAGGAAAATGCTGGATCTTCACAAAGTAAGTGACCTGGTGTTGGTTGGGGGAAAGAAAGCAATTATGGGGAGCATGAGGCCTGAATGAGCTCCTGGAGGGTGGATCTGCTCCTCAGAAGCTCCATTTCGGCTCTAATGTGCCCTCATGCAAGTCCAAATGGAGCTCCTTGAAAGCTCATTTTGGCCGGTGACATTCAGGATGAACGTTACAGAGCCTCTGCGGTTCATAAGGGCGAACTAGTGCTGTGGTGCTGCAAGATTGGTAGTTTCGGGACTGTTTGCAAACAGTAGGGGGCGCTTATCGTGTAACTTCGAACATTCACTAAGGCAGTGTTTTTCAACCACTGTGCCGTGGCACACTAGTGTGCCGTGACATAGTGTAAGGTGTGCCGTGGGAAAAACACCTG